CGCAGCCGTTTAAAACTCATTTGTAGTGAATGATGTCAGAATTTACCGGTATTTTTGGAATGGATGTGTGAATGCTCTTTTCCGGAAAATTTCCGTAACGTCCTCGCCTGTGTGAACAGCGCTTTTTTGAATATACCGGTAAAGTCGTTCCGGAAATTTTCCGGATATTTACCGGTATCACTGTGTGAAAGGGGCTATTGTCTCTTACGTCATAATAATCAAGCACTTTATATTTGGTGTCTCGATAATCTGCCAAAAGTAAAAAGCCAACCTTTTATTTTCCTTCCATAAACTTTTAAGTTTGTGGCTTTAACACAGTACATACTGTAGATGGTATTAAAGCCTCATCTCTGTGAGCAGTCAGGGTTTTTGAAGATGATTGTTTTCAGGTATAGTTAACACATTTTACTATGTTTTATACATCATATTATATATATTGTGACTTATATTTATAAGCTTATTATATTGTTTTTATGTAAATAACCCGCTATACTGTAAAAATCTCACAGATTTATTGTGCGAATCTGAAAAGTATTTTTGGCCTCGCGTTTTTGCAGTAAATGTATGCACTCACCGGCCACTTTATTAGGTACACCTGTCCAACTGCTCGGTAATGCAAATTTCTAATCAGCAAATCACATGGCAGCAACTCGATGCATTTAGGTATGTATTCAAATAGAGCATCAGAATGGGAAAGAAAGGGGATTTAAATGACTTTGAACGTGGCATGTTTGTTGGTGCCAGACAGACTGGTCTGAGTATTTCAGAAACCGCTGATCTCCTGTGATTTTTCACGCACAACCGTCTCTAGGGTTTACAGAAAATAGTCCGAAAAAGAGAACACAATAGTCTAACTATAGGAATAGGACCATTGCAAAGAAGCCTATATTAATCAAAGAGCTTTTTTCTAAATGTTCTGTCATATATTCTAAAATCTCTCTGTTATCTTAAGATTTTAATGTTAGGGCGATGTGGTGATGCAGTAGGTAGTGCTGTCGCCTCACAGCAAGAAGGTCACTGGTTCGAGCCTTGGCTGGGTCAGTTGGCATTTCTGTGTGGAGTTTGCATGTTCTCCCCGCGTTCGTGTGGGTTTCCTCCGGGTGCTCCGGTTTCCCCCACAGTTCAAAGACATGTGGCACAGGTGAATTGGGTAGGCTAAATTGTCCATGGTGTAAGAGTGTGAATGAGTGTGTATGGATGTTTCCCTGGGATGGGTTGCAGCTAGAAGAGTATCTGCTGCATAAAACATATGCTGGATAAGTTGGCGGTTCATTCCAATGTCGCAACCCCAGATTAATAAAGGGACTAAGCCTAAAATTAATGAATAAATGTTAACGCTATTACTTCTTTTCAAAACCAATAATATTTCCATACATGCAAATATTAAAATCTAATCACAAATATGGCTAATTAACTGTACATAGTTGGTTTGTGAACACATTTTTTGTTTGTGAATTTATTGTATTTAATTTTACATTAAGAAGATAAAGGTTACACTTTAAATATATTTTAACATGACATTTATTTACAAAAAAAAAATAATAATAAAAGAATAAATCTGCGGAGAAACAAATATTTATAGAGATTGAGTTTCATTGCTAGAGCCCCATATCTAGAATTGCTTAGGACCCCCAAATCACTAAGCCCGCCCATGCCTACAGGGTTAAAAAAGGGCTCTTAACGTTGGCATTAAAGTCAAGTAAAGGTGGCAAAAATGGCACAGTGGATTGAATATTTATAGGGTTCAGGAGCGCTTCTGTTAGAACAGAGTGTTTCAGCTTGTCTCGTTTTTGTCTTTAATGGGGATGAAATATGTGAGATGAATGGGGGTTTTGGCAGAGATCTGCACCCGAGGTGCTTGCTAAACTACACATTAACAACCTCTTCCACCAGTTTGGGGGAAATTAGCACAAATTGTTTCGCACACTGTGCTTTATAGAGTAAATCAGGACAAGGCCTATCCCAGGCCGAGGACAAAATCCAGTAGTTAGCATCCGGCAGCGCTTCTCACCGTCTGCTTTCTTACGATTATGTCTCACTTGTGGCTAAAATGATCTCCATTAGGAAGCATTACATATGATGGGCCGCGCAGCCATGCTCAAGCCTGCGCCGCATTGGAAAATATCGATTGTTGGTAGAGAAAAACACTCTAAAAATACTTTAATACTTCATTTGACCTTGGTGTTATGCTATTTGAGAGTGCTAAAACAAAGAGGCTCTCACAATTAGCTGTCGCTAGTCTTGTAGGAACAAGGAAAAGCGCTTGTGCTGTGGGAAGTGAGCAACAGACGCTCCATTAGCTTCATCTCCAGTAGCTGGAGGTGCTTTAGAAACCTGTGAAGCAGCCGTATGTGTAAAACACACACAGTGCATATCTATGAACATTGGGATGTGAAAATAAGGGATACACCCACCATAATAAGGCATACACCCCCCTTCCTCCTTCTCTTCGAGAGACTGCTCTATGGTTTTAAAATCCTTTCTAAATATCGGTTAGACCTGGATCATTATTTTAGAGTAAAT